AAAAATGTTAAAAATAAGAAAATAACTGAAACATTAATACTAAAAGACTAAAGAACAAAAATTCAAAGAATGCTATATACTACTTTCCCGAGGAGCTGAAGCTTTGCAGTTCTCTATGATGGGTAAACTCGGTGCTAGCCAGTTGTTCCTGCTGGTCTTCTTGGAGAAGGGCCTGTTGCTCTGATTCTCAAGTGCCCTTGCCCTACTGGCAATGCTTCTCTCGGGCACTGGGAGGCAGGGCTCAGTGTAAGCGGCTCCAGACTCCACTAGGCGGCGCTGTTTTGCTCCCTGCAGGCTTTCAGCACTGAGGCGGGGCGGGGGGCGCAGGCAGCGGCGGCACCCTGATCTCTAGCCCGGGAGCTCAAAGTTCACACCCCTCACTCTTCAGTGAGCCCTCACAGAAAAGCAAACAATCACTCTTGTCTCCTTGGTTTCCATCAGAACTCTGTGCTCACTCAGCCTGTGACCGAGTATTTCTATCTCAGGCACAGGACTCCTACAGGGCACACCTGCGCCTCTCCTCCGGGGGAGGGAGGGGAGTCCCACACCAGTTTGGCCCCTTGCTGGGCCCCTGCTCAGAGAGCGGTCGCCCCACGCAGCCACGGTTCCCAGTTTATGGCAGCAGAGAGCTGAATGCTGGAGCCTGGACTCCCTGTTTGCAGCCGGCTTCCCCGCCCCCATCCCTGGGAATTCTGCCGCACTATCAGCCCCATTCTTCTTGTGACCCCGGGGATCCTGAGACCACGCTGTCCCACCTGCGATTCTGCCCCGCTTCCCCACCTGAGCTTCTTTAAGCCAGGGACATCCCCCACTGTAACAAACTTCTAAGAAGTCCTGATTTTGCGCTCTGCTCCAGTAGCCTCCTTAAGCCAGCTCCCTCCCCTCCGCCGTATCCTCCCATATATACCACCCTGGATTCATGTCTCCGTGCCTCCTACCTTGCAAACAGTGGTCGCTTTCCTACTTATAGACTTGCAGCAACTGTTTTCTCAGATCTCCAATTGATTTCTTGAGTCTTCAGAATGATATGATAACTATCTAATTGTATTCGAGGGATGAGACCAAATTAGAGTCCCCCTACTCCTCCGCCACCTTAACTCCCCTCCCCTTGCAGGCTTCTATTTAAATAAGAAATTCTTGGTCTACCTGTCCCTGAGAAATTTTTCATTCTGGAGACATCTGTACCCTATATGGGACAGTATGCATATCAGCGCATATCATAGCCGCAGGAACAGCAATGTGGTAAGGATGGAAGCAGAGAACTGTGCAAGACTAATACATTTTAAGGACAGTTCTCAGAGTTCGCAGATACAAAGGCTACAATCTAGAATGTGAATAGTAAATATGATATCTCTTTTCCCTGAAAATGTTCAACTTTGATAGTAAGATAAGGAGCTCCATTTACCTGTGCATGGTATGGATAGGATTCCTCTGAGTCCAGGCTTCTGTTGTCCTTCACATACTGGGGGAAGGAGTTACCCATCAGGCCACTGCTACAGCCCTCGTGGTCTCTAGACAGACAGCAGTCCACCAGGTTCTGTTCACTCAGTGCAAGAACGTTTGCCAGTTTTCCAGAACATTTGTCCTTCGAGGGCACCCGTTGCATGAAAAGCCCAACACAAGCCACAAAAACCCTGAAACCAAATTAAAAAGCTCTCAGTCTACAAAACCAATAGCAAGATTTGACAACAGCCCCCACATCTGAAAACTCTTTTAAAACATAGACAACTGTACATGTTTCTCAGCCAACCACAGCAAGGACACTGATTCCTTTCACTTTTACTCCTGAGGATGACCTGCTGAATATTGTCACACCTGATCCTTCACAGGGGTTACATAGCCTTTCTCTCTCCAGTCCACAGAGGAGGGGGTCTCAGCAGAGGGAGGTGCTTGGAACTCGTTCCCTTCTTCATGCTTCTGTATTTGAAGACCATTCATCACCTGCCTGAATTCTTCACTGGTCTTCAAGGAAAAGGAAATAGAATGTTGACAAGCAGCAGATTTTTTGGTAAAGTACTGAGGACAGGACGCATGAAACATTCAGCAATCCATGCCACCCTCACCAGGTCACCAAAGGCGTTCATTGCCATCGTGAAGCTGTGTTTCCCTTGGCTGTATTCCTGATTGTGCCGTTCAATCATTTGCATATTCTTTGCCCACACTGCTCTCCTCCATCCTTCTTCATTCTGCAGAAAAACATATAACCGATCATCTTTATTTCTATTTAAAACCAACTCACCTGCACCAAACGGATGCGCTGACAGAGAGGAGGGGAAACCCTGACCAGGGCTGGGCTGACGCTCCGGGAGCTGCTCTCCAGCAACCACGCAGCCGGACATACGCCCCCGCCGTTGTGCAGTCACGGTGCCCCGCTTACCGCCTTGGTTAGAGCGGCCTCAAGCAGCTACTCTCTGCTGTGAGCTCGCACCAGCACAGAACATTCCCTGGGGGTCTCACTGGACACCGCAGCGGTTACCAACCTCGTCATACAGCTTCCCGTGCGCCGCCTTCCACCGGGACCAGTGCGCATCTAAGCTCTGGTCGGCTTCTGGAGCAGCTGTGGTTGTTCCCAAGCAAAGGGCAGCCAGGAGGAGAGAAGGATGCATGTTCCAAAACCTAGGAAGGGAAAACACATGGGTTTCTGCTTAGACCAAACCACCTAAAAAGCCATGCTCCTTTCTTCCGCGATGTTAGAGCCGCTAAGGTGGAGTACAAACAGGGACTTTATCCTCCCGAGGGTTTCCACGGGGCGGTGGAGGAAGGCTGAGGGTGTGGCATGTGCAGGGGGCCCGCTGCCCCGCTCCCCGCCCTGCACCCGCCTGCCGCTTCCGGGGCATGTGAACGGGAACACGTAGCAATACCGTCCTGTAACCCGGCAGATGGGGTGTACGACGGGGCTGAGCCTGAGGACAGTACCTCCAGCGAGCCCTGAACCTCTGACCCAAAATGCGGTGGCCAAGCTGGTTTGGGGACAGGCCCCGCCCCTCAGGACCGGCCTTGGCTTCAGCTGTGGCAGTTACAGCTACTCTGACCCAGTCACAGGTGCAAGTCTAGGGGTCTCCCAGGTTGGGGGAGGGTCCCAGGCTTTGCATGGAAGGCCCTGGTTTTTCCAGGGCCAGCCCTACCCTCCACGTGTCTACACCGTGATTGATCCGCCTGCCTGTGTGCAGAACTTCTGACTCTGGGCCTACTGGCAGGTGACAAGGCACCTGGAAAAGTGGTGCGTGAGTCAGTTGACCTGGAGGAGGGGAAGCTGGGGGACCAGGGACAGTGCTGAGGGGAGGTCCATACCTTCTCTGGGGACCCAGATCAACTTAGTACCCCAAATTCATGCTCTGGCAGGTGGCTCCTGAATAGAAGTCACAGGGAGGCCCAAGTAGGTTTTCAGCCTCAGCCTGCATGTCCTTCAGTCCTAGAATTGTGGGTTAAAATCTCCCTGAGGATTGAGAACACCATAATCTAGTCTAGCGGTCCCTGATTATTCCAGACAAAGGTGGGGGCAAGTGGAAGAAACAGAGCCCACAGACAGATTTATTAGCACTGTTTCAGGATGGGATGCCTCTGGGTTTTGGAAGAATCTGGCGTGGCCTGGCAATCCCCAAACACTTGCCCAAATCCATGGAAAGAAAGGGGACACACGGAGTGGTGTCCAGGGAAGGCATGGTATTCTGTAATTCTCCTCTTCCTGTCTCCATTAGGCAGAGATTCTTCTTCCTTCTCAAAGCCAACAGAAATGCTTTATTTCCAGAAAAATATGGTTTAATAAAATGAGGAAAGGTGGAATGTAGAAACTGCTTTTTCCTCCCCACTCTCTGCATTATGGATTATTATTTTCCTCAGTATCCAATGTGTTTTTCTTGAGATTTAATTTAAATAAGTTTAAAAAAGATGCTATTTTAAGCAAAAAAGTATTCATCAGGAGACCATGATTTTGCCCTCTGAAGATCAGTTTTGCTCTCCACACGTCTAGACAGTGGGTCACAGCCTCCTTCTCCGGACCCATGCCCCTGAGACCCGTTCCCCCCCCCCCGCCCCCGTGATCCTCCTCACACCAGGTCTCCAGCACTTCTCTGCTCGGGGAGGGCAGGGGTCAAAGGGATTCCATACAGGGGTTGGGAGTCAGGTTGGGCCAGCTCGGGCATTCTGCAGCTCGTGGCTGGGCCCTCCCACCCCCGGCAGGCTCCCCAGCACCCTCAGCCTCAGTTTCCTCATGGAGGACGTGGGGCAGTGATTCTGTTTTCCTCAGAGGAGTCTTGTGGACTGAATGCACTACATGGCAGGCATTAACACAGAGGAGGGCTCATTCCATACTGCTTTCTTGTGAGGGCTGTGAGAAAGAAATCCATAGGCCCAAACTGGGGTCACTTAGGTTAAGGCCCCAATTCAGGAAACCAAGACTTAGTACCTAACCCAACTTCAGGTTCAACTCCCAGCAATGTAACCTTGAAAGAGCCAACATGGAATTTCCTGGCCCATCTGAGGAATTGGCTGAGAGACTCTTCTGCTCCCCTGAGCAGGGCCACCTGCTCCAAACAATGCATTCTTTGCAAATAAAGTCCTTTCTTCTTCTTTTTATGCTTTCTCTCTGGTTTTTAAAACCTTTCTTTTGTTTAGCTCAGCTGAGTTCCCTTCTACTTGCTAGATGGCACGCTGTCTGGTTCATGAATCCTCTCATAAAGCCAATGAGATCTTCAAATTTACTTGGTTGAATTTTGATTTGGTGGCAGGGACTAGATGTGGAGTAAACTCCCGGCAGCATTCAGGACAAGGAAAACACAGGGGTGGTGCCCACGAACCCTTGAGTTCTGGGTCTTCTCCCCCTTCCCCAGCACTGGCGGTAAGCTCCTCTGGGTCAGAGCTCTGTTTTGTCTCTCTTTTTGCCTCGGAGCTCCGGATCTAGGTGGCTTTCCTTTACAGGGCGTGTCAGCTTGAGCTGCAGAAGGTTATGCCAGGAGCCCAGTGGTGCTGGCATGTTTGCCTGGAGCCCCACTGAGCTGACAGAAGGGTCTGCCCTGAGCCAACCCAGGCCTTTCAGGTCACATTCCCCATGTGGAAAACCTCAGCAAGCTCCTCAAGGGAATGGGTCGTGGTGCTCACAGGGCCTTCTTAGTGCCAGGACGCAGTTCTGCTGATATATGAAGGTACATGTTTGTTTGTCTTATTTTGTGTACATAACTGTTATTGCTAGCAGGATCTTGGAAGCCAAAAAGCCTCACAAATTGATGGGCATGGGTTGAGCATTTAAAGGCTACTAGAGGGCGCCTGGGTGGCTCAGTTGATTAAGCGACTGCCTTCGGCTCAGGTCATGATCCCGGAGTCCTGGGATCGAGTCCCGCATCGGGCTTCCGGCTCGGCGGGGAGCCTGCTTCTCCCTCTGACCCTATCCCCTCTCATGCTGTTTCTCTCTCTCCCTCTCAAATAAATAAATAAATAAAATCTTAAAAAAATTTAAAAAAATAAAGGCTACTAGATCTCTGGCCATCTCAAACAGACTCCCGGGTTAGGATAAGGTGGTCACAGAGCAGGTTAGATGGATACTAGGTCACCTGTCAACCTCAAGAAGATTTCCCTGCAACTTGGTACCCTGTGAAACATGACACAGTCCTCAACCCCATGGCACCTCCCTCTTAGGTATTAGCTCGGCTCCACGAAACCCAAAGCCTTAGCTACTGGGATCCTTACATTTTAATCAGACGTGGTACCTTCTGGCACACCTGCTTATTTTCTGCCTAAGAACTATAGTCCCAGAAGGTACAGATATCTAGCAAGATAAAAAAAAATTTTATTAAAAATAACCTAGAATTACAGTGTCCATTATGGGGAATATTCCAGTTGGACAGGACTGTTCATTTAAGAAGTGTATGAAAGTCAGTGTTCCCAATCTAAATACACAGAATGGGATGCCTACTTTAATTAATACAAAGAAGCCTCCAAAAGCCTTCAACATTCCAAAATAGTCACATTGAAAGATTCATCACAAAAAGGTATTGAAAAATTAGAAACATGAGAGGTGCTTAAGACCAAAGTTTGTATGGGCGCCTGGGTGGCTCAGATGGTTAAGCGTCTGCCTTTAGCTCAGGTCATGATCCCAGGGTCCTGGGATAGAGCCCCGCATCGGGCTTCTGGCTCGGCGGGGAGCCTGCTTCTCCATCTGCCTCTCTCTCTCTCATGAATAAATAAATTAAAAAATAAAAAAAAAAAAAAAAGACCAAAGTCTGTAAGACTGACTTGTCTCCTACAGCTCCTCCATCCTCCCTTCCCTGAGTGCTCCGTCTGCTACTTTCCCGTCTCAGGTGCCTTTCCACCTGAAGAGACACTCACCTCCTCACAGGAAACTGCCTGAGGTGACAGGTGATCCTCCCAAGATGCCTGTCATCCTTGGTCAAGGACTGAACTGAGGCCAGAGTAAAACATTTCTCCAACTTGGGCAGGGTCCCCAGACTTTGTTTCTTTGTTTGTTACATTTTTAAATCAATTCTTCCTGAGCCCAGGTGAGAGAGGGAAACAAAAATTCACATTATCCCTTCCTTTCCAAGTCCAGACCCATTGGTTATGGATCCCTTTCTCCTGGAATTAGTTTCCTCTCATCCCTCTGGTTTTACATCCTAAAAATGTGACTTGGCTTTCCAGCTGCCTCAGCTCTCTCTTGGGCTATCTTTGGGAGTGGTTCTACATCATGTAAAAATAGTACTGTTTACACCTTCTTGAAGGATATCTTTTGGGCCCATGATGTTGTTTAATATTGCCAGAAAGTGTTACTGTTTTTCCTGGCTAAGATCTGACAATATATTTTTAAAAATTTTAATAACTGTATAATAAAAAATTTGGCCAAATTAAAAGCTGATATTTAGAGCCTGATAGAATTTTTTAGTTCTCATTTTTCTCTTTTAAATTTTTAGGCCTTTTCTGTTAAGCAAAATTTACTCAGAGGAAGACTTTCTCACAGGTGGATGGGCGCATCAGTCCTTTGATATTATTAAAGCAAGAAGTCCATTCTTTGAGAAACTAAAAACAGATGTCCTTGTTTTACAAATCTAGTCTTTACAGGACAGAAGGTCTGGTTGCAAAAACAATTCAAAGAACACCAATCCTTTTTACCAATCCCGAAACCTCCCTTATTTATCCCAAAAGGCTTGTAAGTATTGTAAAAGTTCTGGCCCAAAGAGATCAAAAGTCCTTCTAGAAAGTGCTTGTATTTTTTCCCTGTGCCTTCAAAATATAAACATTGAGTGTTCTACTCATTTTCTCCAGGAGCTCCTTACGTGGCTCATCTCTTCACAATGCAGATTCCAAGGAGATTATTCTTACCAACCAAACATGGAAGGCAAGGCCATTTAAAACTTGATTTGCCAACAACAAATACAAATCTTAAGTGTCTTCTCCACAAACAAAACAAAAACAAAAAAAACTTTAGCCCTCTAGACAAATAACCTTAACTTATTCCATCTACCAGAAAAATAAAAACAGGTCCAAACATGAAAGTTAGTTGTTGTTGTTTTTTAAGATTTTATATTTTAAGTACTCTCTCTTACTAACATGGGGCTGGAACTCACAAACCCGAGATCAAGAGCCGCATGCTCTACTGACTGAGCCAGCCAGATGCCACAAAACTACTGTGTTTTGTACCAATTTCGTGACAGTAATTTTACAATGGAAGCTATAACATCTGCAACTCTCTGTATGTTCATGGTCATCTACAGATGTGTTGTAAATGCTTCTACCTTCGGATGGCATTGCCAAAATTAACTTGTGAAGACCTCTATTTAGTTGGTTTGAAGGCAAGTGACAGTAAGCATTGGGCATTCTAAAACTCCAAAAGGTAAAAACTAACCCAAGTGCTTTTCAAGTTCACATGATCTAGAAAATTATTTGATATAAATGCTACTTTAAGGTTGATGGTTTAACTAACACAAACACATCTTTAGAATTATCAACAGTAAATATAAAGACTTGTAATTCTACCTGAGTTTACTAGCTAAATAAGTTGTTGAATAAGAATAAGATTCTTTTTTTTATTCTTATGTTAATCCCCATACATTACATCATTAGTTTTAGATGTAGTGTTCCATGATTCGTTGTTTGTGCATAACACCCAGTGCTCCATACAGAATGTGCCCTCCTCAATACCCATGACCAGGCTAACCCATCCTCCCACCCCCCTCCCCTCTAGAACCCTCAGTTTGTTTTTCAGAGTCCATCATCTCTCATGGTTCATCTACCCCTCCGATTTCCCCCCCTTCAAAGAATAAGATTCTTATAAGAATAAGATCTTTCATCAATTAAAAAAACATAATAGCTTAGGATAAAATTGACTTTGTCTAATGCTTAATAAAGTTTTCATAAGTAATCTGCACATAATTGCGAATACAAGTAGATTAAATATCAAGTTTTGGAGTAAATTTTTTTAATTGTGTAGGGGCCAAGGGTAGGCTGCCTTAAGATGGGCCACTTTGGCATAAAGATTGTTTTTGAGTTAAAAGCAACCAAAACCCAGCTGATTTAGGAAAAACTCTTTACCTCTCCCTCACCTGCCTGCCTTAGCAGGAAGAGGGCATTAACAGATTCCTCCTTACCTGAGAAACTAACCTGTACAACAGGACAACCTTTGCTTTCCAACATCTCCTTTCACCTGCCGGCTAACAGTCTCCCTCCTCTTTGTATTCCCAGTCCTGATCCTTCTCCTTATCTCTGGATGTCCTGTGAACCCTGTGTTGCCTGCCCGTCTTTAGAATTTCATGCCTATATGGATTCCCTGTATGTACAAAACTAAATTTGATTTTCTCCTGTAAATCTGCCTTGGATCAATTAGATTCTTAGTCCAACTTGAAGGACCTTAAAGGCCAGAGGAAATTCTTTTTCCTGGTAAATAACAAAATTCAACCAAGTAAATTTGGAGATCTAAGTGGCTTTATGAAATACTTCATGAATCAGGCAGGGCCCCATGGAGCTGGTAGAGAGGTGTTCCCAGGAGATGTACAACATGGAAGGTTTTTATAGAAGAAGGTGGTGGCCAGAGAATTATTCGCCAAAGGAAAGGACTGTTCCTGGCAATGCCTCTTTCTAGGGGACAAAGCAAGGTTTCCACCTCACCTCTTTGAGGGATGGAGAGGACCTAAGTGGCAGACTCACTGGACCAGAATGAAAACTTCCTGGCTGACAGGTTAATATTACCTTTGTGGGATAGGTTCAAACTGCAATTAAGTTCTGTGTTAAGAAGCAGTTTGGGTACTCAGTTGAAGTGACATTTTGGATTTCATATGATTACTTCTGAAAGTATTGAAAAGATTATAGAAGATAAATTACATGGTGGTCAGCATATAATCTCTAGCATGTAGCTACTACTATTATTCTTAATGATGTTCTGGAATTTAAGAGGGCCCTTATCATCAAAACACCCTTGTTGGGGTCATATCTTAAGATATATGACTGAAGATTTGTCAGAATTGTCAGACAACACAGGAAAATAACAGAACATGTGACAAGGCCTTGAGGTCTAGGGAGGGCCGAGCAGCTGAGGTCCTAGGACCAGCAGAGATGGACAGAGGATTAGGGTCACGAGGCCACAACTCTCAGCTGCAGCCATTCCAACACGCTCTCACGGGTGCTCTGTGCTCAATGTCCGTTGAGAGTAAAGGACTAAGGTGACCTTGGAGTCTCTCAACCAAACCAGCTTCCATCATCATGGCTTCCTGCCCTGTATTCCCTGCTTGTTGAGCCCCCAAATGTGCACGATGCACTGAAATGGTTCAACTGTGGGGAGATTTTCAGGCAAAATGCAAAGCTGCCTCCCGGACTCACCTTAGTGAGCCTTGCTCATGGGTGATCCATCTGGGAAGCTGGTGTTCTTCCCCCTCTTCTCTTGCATGTTCTCAGAAACATAATAGGCAAGTCAAAAATGACTTTCTCCACTTTAGTGGATTCACTTTCCAATTGGTCCTGGCAAACTGGACTTGCCAGCAAACATGAGTGAACAGTTACCTGGCTCATGAGCAATCATGTCACATGTTGTTTATATGGTTGGGGCAGTAATCCATCATTGCCCTGGCTTGTCTCATCCCGTTAGAGCTTTCATGAACAACTTGGTAGTGGCTGTTTTTAAGGATTCTTAGAAGGATCTTGGCCATTGTCCTTTTGGCAATTTCTTCTGTTACTCCTTAGTTTTTTTAATTTAAAAAAAAAAACAGGTGATCATTATGAAAATTTTAGAAAGTTCTGGTAAGCGAAATTAAAGAGAAAAAAAAAAAAAAACAGTATCCAAAGTCCCAATCTACTTCCTTGTGGCTTCTTAAAACCAGTAGACAACTGGGATTTATGGCTCACTCAGGAACACTATGCTTTGACTGATGGCCTTTGAGCACTGTAAAAACCCTTATCTCATCTTACAGGTGAATGAACTGAAGCTTAGAGAGGTTTGGGAACTTCTTTAGCCAGTAAGCAGGGAGCCAGGAGTTGGTCTCAGGAGCTGTAACTCCAGACAAGGCAGCACGCAGTGTTGCAGGACGGTGCCAGACCCGGGATTGAAGGCTGGCTGTCAACGAAGATAATGGGAGAGAATTGCAAAGGACGATAGTTAATGTTTATACTGCAGTCCAAGGGACTACATGCCTCTCCAAACCTGTCCCCAAGGTCACTACCCCAGGCACAGTCCCTCCCCTCTGCCACTGTGTCCATTTAAACATTTCTGGAAAGTGTTTCCTTATCTGTGACTGTGCACTGACTTCTGGGGAGATCCTCTCTTCTCCCTGCAGGAGCCACCACCCTCTTCCCCAGCAGAAGATCCCCATGTTTGAGTTATTTCTTCGAGAGCAGGTCCTGGGGTGGGGGTGGGGTTGCTCCAGCAGGGGAGACTGTATCAGATGCCAAAGGGGGTCCTGTAGCCACCTGCAGAAATGTGTCATGTGTGACGCAAGGAGAGCGATAATTAATGAAAATCTTAGTGTTCTTTTCTTGTTTGTGTTCCTTTTCTAGGAACTTGTCCCCTCTACAGTTAGAGATTTCCTTGTCTTAAAGATCAGAATTTGAACAGCAGAAAGGCAAAGAGGAGAGAGTCACCGTTCAGCCTTTGACATCGCAAACATAATTCCTGAGTCCACAAGGGTCCTGAGGACCAAGCTTTGAAGAGAGAAGATAAGGTTTCCTAATCTCAGGGTCCAATCTGAAAACCTCCCCTAAGGTCGCTGTCATCAAGGAATGAAGCGTTCATTGCCTATGGAGTGGGAAGAAGAGGGGAGAAGAGTGTCCCCAACCCTGGGAGAGGGGCAGGGGTTTCTCAAAGGCTCAGGGCCATAGCCTGCTCTCACTCATGCTGTGCGAGCCTGGTCTAGAGAGGGTGGGCTCTGGAAAATTCTCAGGCACAGCTTTAACAAAGAGGGGAGCAGGTCACAGATTCTGGGATGACCAAGCGCCACAAACACAGACTGTTCCTAAGACCTCAGGACCCTTGCACAGCCATGGGGAGCAGGAAAGTCTCCCTGAAGAATGCAAGAAACTAGATTTAGCAAGGTGGCTCCCAGTCAGACTTACTTTAAGAAGGATAAAGGGAGGGGCGCCTGGGTGGCTCAGTCATTAAGCGTCTGCCTTCGGCTCAGGTCATGATCCCAGGGTCCTGGGATCGAGCCCCGCATCATGCTCTCTGTTCCGTGGAAAGCCTGCTTCTTCCTCTTCCACTCCCCCTGCTTGTGTTCCCTCTCTCGCTGTGTGTCTCTGTCAAATAAATAAATAAAATCTTAAAAAAAAAAATAAAAAGAAGGATAAAGGGATATGATAGTTCTGGGCAATAGTGTGGACAATAATTATTCCCAAGGGCAGGGTTATAATCATGGTTGAATCTGAAAGGGGCTAATTACATCCCAGAACTGGAAAGAAATGCAGAGGGTTGCTGAAAACTGGGGAACTGAGGTTTACACTTTCTCCTTAGGCTCATCCTTCAGTTTCCGTGGACTCAACTTAACTTCCAATCCTACTCAGCCACTAACACAGTTGAAGGTTGAGAAACAAAAAAAGAAAATACTACAGTCCCTCAAATGGGTTAAGACATATTTTCCACGTCAGCCATGTGTGTTCAGCTTCAGGTTCCTGCATCCTGGCTGGAGAACTCCTTCCCCACGCCCCACTCTCTTCCACCTGAGTTGTGTGCATTCCTGTTGCAAAGGGGAACTGTTCTCAGTTGATGCCCCATAATTTGCACAGTGGAGTGCTCAGTGAGCTCAGAGGAATCCAAGCAGTTGGGCACAAATCCAATCCAGGCTGTGCCAAATACTGTTACTAGAACAGTCAGGGCTTGCTGTCAATGATCACCTGAACAGGAGGAGAGCCCGGCCCCCAAGAGCACAGGGTTTGGTTGAATGCAGGTGAAATGTGACCCCACGGCGCCCTCCTCCAGGCACCCTGGGACAGTCTACACAGTGCACAAGTGTTTGCAGGGGACAGATAGGAAATACACTGCTGCAGATAATATACACAGCCTGCTCCACCCCGGCTTGCTCAGAGCTCATGATCCAGACGGGTGGGGCACCAGAAGCTCCTGGCTGGTGGTCACACTCACACGACAGTACCAGGGAGCGTACCAGGGAGCTGGACATGCCTTGCTCTCCCACCAGTCTCCCAGGTGGTCAGCACTGCCCTCCTGAGATGACCCTCTGCCATTGTGCCCAAATTGTTTCTTGTTCTTTTTCCAGGAGGGGGCGAGACAGCTTCCCACACTCACCTGCTCACTGGGAAGCAAGCTGAATTTCATTTCACTGTGGTAAAACACACATAACAAAATTGGGGTGGGGGTGGGGGTTGCTCCGGGAGGGGAGACTGTGATAGTGCTGGGCAGTTTTTGCTCTAATTGGCCTTACTTTGCAAAGCGAAGTATCCATCCCCCATGTTCTTCAAGAAATTTTGCTCTTCCATGACCATCCCAAAGTGTGGGAACCACTGGCACACAACAGGGCTCTCAGGGTTCAGGCATCAGTAAAATGAAAAGCTACTTTTCACTGAATACCAGCTTTATGCTGCAGCCTTTGGGGGTGGAGATAGTAACATTTATTTTTATTTCTGATCTTCAGGATAATGTTCTTGCCAAATGATGAATGGAAATCTAATCAAGCTTTTATTCCACTTTTCTCTGCTTTATGGAGGATAAATTAAATGCCACCAGGAGAAAGCAATTAGATAAAGCCACAAATCAGAACATTCCACAAGATAACCTGTTTTGCATGAGTGTTTTCTACACGAAAAAGTTTTTAGTGGGCCTCACTCTTTACAGCCTGTGTTGACTGATAAGGTCCCCCAGTAATTTCCCAGTGCCAAGGTGGACAGGGCCCTGGCTAGACGGCTGGCTCCCAGGTCCGGGGATGTGAGGACGCTGGAGAAGTGGGAACCTGAGCCGGGAGACAGGGGAGCCTCACACAGAGAACAGCCCAGAGTCCTAGGGAGGCTGCATCCTCAGTGAGGGGAGTCTTCACAGAAACTCAGACCCTCAAACCAGGCAAAGAAGGACATCGACCATGAGAAGCTGATTAATGAGCGTTGTTAATTTAATGAGCATTTTTAAAAAAGATTTTATTTATTTATTTGAGAGAGAGAGAGCGAGAGAGCACAAGCAGGGAGAGGGACAGAGGGAGAGGGAGAGACAGGCTCCCCACTGAGCAGGGAACCCCATGTGGGGCTCAATCTCAGGACCCCGGGATCATGACCTGAGCCGAAAGCAGATGCTTAACTGACTGAGCCAGCCAGGTGCCCCTCAATGAGCATTTAAGATAAGTCAGTAGATGAGAAAACTTGATATGTCACAAAATTTTACACCTTGTACTTGTAAAAAAAAAAAACTGCAATAAAGTAGGTTAAGAGGGAACATACCTCATCATAATAAAGGCCAGATATGACATACCTACAGCTAACATCACACTCAATGGTTAAGAACTGAAAGATTTTCCTCTAAGATGAGGAACAAGACAAAGATGTCCAATCTTGCCACTTTATTCATCATTGTACCAGAAGTCCTAGGCATAGCAGTCAGATAAGAAATAGAAGGCATTCAAATTGGTAAAGAAGAAATAGAACTGTCACTATTTGCAAATGACATGATACTCTATTTAGGAAACTCTAAAGACTCCACCAAAAAACTATTAGAACTAATAAATTCAGTAAAGTCACAGGATACAAAATTAATATACACAAATCTGTGACATTTCTGTGCACTAATAATGAAGTAGCATAAAAGAAATAAAGAAAACAATCCCATTTACAATTGAACCAAAAAAGAAAATGAAATACCTAGGAATAAATTTAACCAAGGAGGTGAAAGACCTGTACTCTGAAAACTATAACACACTGATGAAAGAAACTGAAGACAATACAAACAAGTGGAACAATATACCATACTCATGCACTGAAGAATTAATATTGTTAAGATGTTCATAATACCCAAAGCAATCTGTAGATTTAATGCAATCCCTATCAAAATATCTGGTATTTTTCACAGAACTAGGACAAATAATCCTAAAATTTATATGGAACCACGAAAGACCCTAAATAGCCAAAGTAATCTTGAGAAAGAGCAAAGCTGGAGGTATTTGGGTCCCAGATTTCAAGATATGCTACAAATGTATAGTAACGACAATAATACGGTACTGACACAAAAATAGTCACATAAATCAGTGAAACCAGATAGAAAGCCCAAATATAAATCCACACTTATACAGTCAATTAATCTTGGACAAGGAAGGCAAGAATACACAATGGGGAAAAGATAGTATTTTCAATAAATTGCATCAAGAAAACTAGACAACTACATGCATAAGAATGAAACTGGACCATTTTCTTACACCATACACAAAAATACACTCTAAATGAATTAAAGACCTAAACTTGAGATGTGAAACCATAAAACTCCTAAAAGAAAACATAGGCGGTAATCTCTTGGACATCAGCCTTAGCAACACTTTTCTGGATATGTCTCCTCAGGCAAGGAAAACAAAAGCAAAAATAAACTGTTGGGACACACCAAAATAAAAAGGTTTTTGCACAGGGAAGGAAACCATAAACAAAATGGAAAGGCAACTTACTGACTGGGAGAAGACCTTTGCAAATTACATATCTGGTAAGGAGTTAATACTCAAAATATATAATGAACTAATAGAACTCAACATAAAAAAAAAACCCCACAAATAATCAGAATGAAAAAAGGACACAAGACCTGAATAGACATTTTTGCAAAGAAAACATACAGATGGCCAAAAGACAAATGAAAATATGGACAACATCACTGATCATCAGGGAAATGCAAATCAAAAACACAATGAGATATTGCCTCATACCTGTCAGAATGGCTGGTATCAAAAAGACAAGAAAAAACAAGTGTTGGCAAGGATGTGGAGAAAAGGGAACCCTCGTGCATTGTGGGTAGAATTGAAATTGGTGCAACTACTCTGGAAAACAGTATGGATGTTCCTCACAAAATTAAAAATAGAAGTACCATACAATCCAGTAATTCCACTACTAGGTATTTACGCAACGAAAATGAAAACACCAATTTGAAAAGACATATGCACCCCTAGTTTATTGCAGCATTATTTACAATAGCAAAGATATGGAAGTAGCCCAAGTGTCCAATGATAGATGAATGATTTGACATATATATACAATGGAATATTAATTACTTAGCTGTAAAAAAGAATGAGATCTTATCATTTGTGACAACATCAATGGACCTACAGGATATTCTGCTAAATGAAATAAGCCAGACAGAGAAAGGCAAATATCACATGATTTCACGCATATGTGGAATCTAAAAAACAAAACAAAAGAACAAACCAACAAAAAACAGTAACCCAGACTCATAAAAAAGAAAACAAACCAGTTCTTGCCACTGAACTGGGGGGTGGGAGGATGAGTGAAATAGATGAAGGAGATTGAGGGGGACAAAATTCCAGCTATACAATAAATAAATCACAGGGATGGAAAGTACAGCATAGGAAATATAGTCAATAATACTGTAATAACACTGTGTGGTGACAGATGAGGTATGCTTATGGTGGTGAACACCGGATAATGTACAGAATTGTCAAATTACTATGTTACACACCCAACACTAATATAACATTGTATGTTAAAATTATACGTTAAAAAAAAACTGGATAGAGATTCCCCCAGATTTAAAAATAATCTTAAATATTTATATGGCATTACCACTAATGAGCTTTGAAGCTGAAAGTTTTCAAAACTAT